TTTGTTCGAAAAAATTTAGCCTTTGATGGAGAAAATGCAATTTTAAGTACCAACGGGCTAATTCTAATGGTAATTTTGTAATTCAGTTTTCTCAGCTTTGGAAGGAGCTAGAACAAAAAATTTTTTATCATTAAATAGGGAATTGTTTATACTGTATACACCACTATTCAAAACAAAAAAATTCGCACCTACGATTTTTTCAGAAAACGCCGCCTAAATGCCCACTGTGCGCACTGAATGAGTAGAAAAACAAAAGGCAAAAACGACACGAATAAAAAAATGAGAATCAAAGAGCGACATAATCATCATAAAAAGAGACACCTTCTAAGTACGGTTCTCCACTTTTTGTAAAAAGAATGATGAAAATATTTTTGAACAATGCAATATACAAATCAACAACATTTCCATATGCTATATTCATCATGCCATTTTAATGCTTTTGTCCTAACCTGCTGCCGACGAAGTGTAAGTTGTCATGAGATTTAGAATCAAAAACATTGATCTGGATGACTTGAATTTGTACATAGGATCCTTATATTCAAATTTTCATCATATCGTTTATAAATATTGAGCGTTTGGAAGAATTCATTGCAAGCCAAAATCACGATACACAAGTGTTCTGAAACAGCATTTTTATACAAAAAAACACCTTTTGTACCGTCTCATGCGATCGGGACACTCAATCGACTTAGGTAGGATCTCGCTAAATCCGGCTGTTCCATTATCAACATCTTTTTTCGATAACCATTCTCATAAACTTTCATCATGATTTACCATCATTGATTAATTAACAACATCATTCACAACGCCCACGTGGAGAATAATTTTGAAAGGATATCGCCATGTTTTTCCGAACATCTGGTTAGATCGAGAGGTTTCGGCCAGTTCTAAGGCGTGAATCTGGTCATTTCTTCCTAGACGTAGGTTTACTAATGTTTTCTTTCGTCTATGTGTTTAGGAAAATGTCAATTACAATCACATCTCTGCTCCACAACCTTTTCGTAATCGATCATTGAATCCACCGTCCCCATCTGAATCTTACTTCCAAACAAGCAAAACATTGGCGTCCAGCAACAAAGAAATCAATAATAAATGAAGAATTACGTCAAAAATAACCACCATTATAACTTAAACTGTCAAATTTTCAAATTATTTTTATCCATCGAGCAGTATATCCAGATCAACTGTATTTTTTACTAGAAGCAACTGTCGATGTGTCATGTTTTACAATCGATCAAGAATCTGCATTACAGTTCAATCCTGTGACATATCAAAATCATCCCATCCCATCATTCATGCAAGTCCCAACACTAGATCAAGAACCTTAGCAGTTGCACTGTTTGCATGTTGTTGGCTTCCATCGCCAAATTTGTCGCAATTCTAAACAATTAAACAAGTTCGGAGCAACATTCTCAATAATTCAACAAAAATTATTAGAGATTGGGCGATCCATTCGAAGAAATGTCATCGTATGTAGCATATAAAATGTCTAAGTAATTTCAACTTTATCGAACGAAAAAAGAAAGAGAAGAGAGTGACATTCAGTCACAATATACGACGTGGATTAAAGGGCGGGTCTTACCTTTAGGCGATAATCAAAATGATGAAATAATTATACATGCACCATCATTAGAATTAGAAGAAAAAGTAAGTCTTCAAAAAGCTCTCTATAATATCCATCAATTATTTTTTAGACAAAACGTGGACTAACGGCAAACGGTCAGCCGGTTTAGGCAGACGATTAGCCACATATATCGATCCAACACTATCGGGCGTCGGATTAGACCGCAACACATTTTTTTAGACGTCGAAAGATGATCGAATATAGCGTATATCCATCACCATCAATCATCATCCAGTCGAGAACCGTCAACGACGCCACCGTTTCGCCGTCCACGACCTTAAAATTCATCTTCATCGTCTCATCACTCACAACTTTCTGATCTATCTTCATCACTTCGTCAAATTCTATCTTCTAGGGATTCTCATAAAAACCTATTAGAATATTATCGTAATAAAAAACTTGATATTTGAAAACGAAAACGTCGTTACTTATACTCCATTAACGTATTCAAGCATCCCAAGTTCACCGTGCTCGCAATCAAACGCCTACATCTCAAATACCTAAAAATTAAATTTAAACATATTTAACCGAAAATTGAAAATGGCAAAGTCAGTGTGGTCATTGGCTTCTCCTTTTGGCTGTCCTTTTTATTGTCACATATACAAGAGATGTCAAAGTGTGCTTTTTCCGGATTCATATAGTGTGGTATACACGTCTATCTATCGGCTATTTAATAACATAAAAAGTTTTGTTCCTAATGCTAAGGATCGTAGGAAAACGCATAGTCAAAAATTTACCTAATGAAACAGAGGTAACAAAGCTTTTGAAAAATCTAGTCTGTATCTAACTAGACCCGTTTAGCTATACAACAGGCAAACACGTTTTTAGTTTAGACCTTTGCTTAGTACCACACATCAGCCCACAAATAATTTATTATTATATTTTTTCAGGTCCACGATTATGACCGTCGTATACGTCAAATTACGCCGTCGTATTTTGACGTAAACCCCGCCGATGTATTACGTCAGCCGTTATGACCGGCGTAGTTCTTCCTATTTCAACGTAAATGCCGTCGTTCACGATGGATGTAATAGGCTGGCCGGATTTATGTCAAAATACGACGAAATACTATAGTATACGATCGTGAATCTTTGACCTGGGTTGCTGTTCAGCTTCACATTTAGTAAGTCTTGTTCTGACCACAAATCTATACGATATTCATTTAACAAGTTTCCTGTAGAGCCCTATAAAATTAACAGGGATCAATGCAAAACATGATCGTGTTTGTAGCAATAAAGCCTGTTCAACTGAAAGAAAACAACGGACTCCAAGACACTCGATATCCAATACTGTTTAGTCATCTACATTGATGTTAAAAGGTTTCAGGACATACGTTAAACAAACCTAAGAAAAAACCATGAGAACTGATTCTCTGTCATCAACCGCTAAATCTAGCGTCAGAAACTTGGGAGTCTCTTGCCTATCTCCCAAGTGATCTACACGACTGTGACAAAAATATGTCGATGAATATATTTTATGGCACTAATATGAAAAAAGATGTATAAGAAAATACACGCTCGACGCACACAACAACAATTACACGCGACAATAACAACGAACAAAAATGAAGAGCAACAATCGCACATATACCCTGACAGAACGATCTCGAACATCATACAAGAAGCAAAAATCTCAAGAGGTCTAAAACTATTTCTAAATTTAAAACAATCCTCATGCTTCCCTTCTGTCAGCATTCGCAACCAGTATAGATGAGAAATGCTATGAACTTCTCTGATTCCACCGGAAAACCATCTAATGTAATATAAAGCTAAAAGGTTTTTTGCACACCCTCTGCGGATCCCAAAGAGGTTGAAAGAATTTCTAATCGATTTGTTATAATAGATTATCTATACACTGTCAATTTTATTACCCGTATACCACTTTTTTTGTATTGTCACAGTTGACTGCTATCTGGCGACATCTACCACCCGGCCTACAGAAAACGCTTGCTTAGCTGTTTACCTCTCTGCATCAGTACATATTTCAGATGATCTCTTTGAATATTTCCTCTCTTATGTAAAAAGTGAGTTTCTACTGTTGTCTCTTATCATTCGCTTCGCCTCTTGTGATTTTGTAAGACCCTAGACTAAAGTCAAGAGAAAATGAAGTGTGTAGTGGACTTTCATCAATGGACAAAAAGTAAAACAGTGTTTTGAATAGGAATTTAAGCATATTGGGTTTCCACAAATTTCCACTGCATTTTCCATGTTTTTCTTGCTAAAAATAAAGTGGAAATCAAATTTTCAAAGTAGAAACCCATTTTCCTAAAGCGAGATCCACTAATCATTAAAAACACTGAGTAAAAATATGGTCTGCTTATGTTTGAGCATCATATTGCGCTAGTTCATCTGTTACAGAAATATGAGCAAAAGTCAAGATAAAAGATTGTTTAGCTCTAAGAAAATAGAAAGCTCTATTGTAAAATCAATACTTTTTCTACAGTGTATCGTACCAAAACGTTTAATAACGGTAGACAGATTTTTCAAATCATGGCATATTCAGAAGCCTAGAGAGCATACACGTTTTGTGCAAATCGTAGCGATTTGGACTCGTGCAAGATATAATCTAGTGCCAATTCATCTTAAAGCTATTTTCGTTGTCATATCTTCAAAAACGTCAGCTGCTTCCATTTCCTGCCGTTTGACTTTTTCTCGTAGAACATGATAAAAATTAAATGATCCATTTGAGGCTATTCAGCGATCGAGAAATGGGATTATGTACCTATTGGAAAAAAGCTTGAGGTTTCCATCGAGCAGTATAGCCATGACGTGACTGATGTCTAACTGTAATTAAATCATTAATATTACATTTGTGTCGTTTGCTGTTTGTTTCACAACAGTATTTGTCAATATTTTGCGCAAATTGTATAAGTGTAACAAAGTAAAACGAGATACAATCATCTTTCAGAAAATGGAAGAATCAAGTCAGTCTAGTGGCCTGTAGAAAATTAAATAAAAAACCCAAAAGAAAGGTGTGGATTTCTTAATCTAATTCGACTGATAGTTTAATAGAATGAAACATTTTGGAAAAAAAACAATCTAAACTGGCTGGATGCTGAAAAACTTGTTGCATCTGATGCCGTATAAACAGACAATGCCACTAAGCAAAGTAATTAATCACCTTGTCAAATTCTTTTATTTCATTAAAATGGTTATAAAATATGACAGATAGGGTAGAAATCTAAGTTTAAATAAAGCATTACTCTAACTGTCGGCAGACACACTGTTTTTTGCACATTTGTTGTTAAAAATATTATCTATTATAACATCCATATATCTTCCATATAAGTCTTCTGACTACTGAGTTTGACATTGAACATGGTCTGAATGAGAATGTTCGTCACCATCTGGACCATCATCATCTTGAAAACGACTATATTTTGGAGGCGATTCACAATCCTCCATTTGAACTTCCTCCACATTTTCTTGAGCATTCATTGTCACATGGTGTTTAGGAGGAAGAATAGATTCTAATTGCTACAAAAAGAAAGAAAAAGCAACAAATAGACAGTTGACTCGTTGTCGTGTACAAATACTAACTTTGACTTGGGCTTGATTTTTGATGAAATTTTCTCTTGGAAATTCCACATCAAAGTGAATAATTAAATCACCTAGTTCATGCGTCTGTCGATTTGGCATACCATGACCTTTTAAACAACGATACGAATTAGGGACAATGGGCTTGGCTGATGGATGATTAATCAAAATTTTATGTCCATCCAGCAATGTAATTAAACGTTGAAAACCACATAAAGATTCGGTGAGATTAATATTTAATTTTGTTGTTAGATTATCGCCATTGCGCTCGAATATTGGATGTGGTTGTTGATGAAGAATAATATAAACATCGCCAGCTATGCCATTGGGCTATACACAAAAACAAAAAGATGCTGGTTAGCTGTACCTAAAAAGAAAATTATTTTGATACCTACTATTTGATCACCTTCTCCACTGTATTTGATTGTTTGTTTATCTTGACTTCCACGTGGAATTTCTATATCCAATATCTTTTTCTGTTCAGAAATTTTTTGACCGTAACAAGTTTTACATCGATTTTTTGGAGTGATCATATCGCCTGAGAAAATATATAAATACAAATAAAGATCAGTGATATAGTTAAGACATTTTTTGTTACCTTGTCCGTTGCAACTTGAACATTTACGTTGCATTTGTTGAATAAATGGACCCATTCGCTGTATGACATTTTCCACTCCTTGACCATCACACTTTGTACACATGCGTTTAATTCCATCTTGACAACCAGTCCTACGAGGGAAACAATCGAATTAATTTTATCTGAAAGACGTCTGTTCGTAAAATATAATTACCCGCTGCAGTTCGTACAAACGACATGACGAGTAATCGAATGTTTTTTTGAACATCCTAGATATAATTCTTCAAGTGACACTCTAGAACAAACACAGTAGATGGTTTTAGTGAAAGTTCACTCCTGTGTCAACTTTCACTTACTTGAGAACATGCTTTCTATCATCTCCTTTATGTACTGTTTGTCGACGACCAAATCTGTGACCAAACAGATTTGCCAAAATATCTTCCACTATTAAAAACATAACAATATATATTCTTGTTTTGTTCTGTATTGGTTGTCACTTACTTCCCGAAGGCATACCTCCCGGAAAGCCGCTTGATCCTCCTCCTGTTTTTAATCCGTCTGGTCCATATTTATCATAAATATCTCGTTTTTTGGGATCAGACAATACTTCTTTAGCAATATTAATCTGTTGCATCTAAATACAACCAATTTATATGAATAATTGTAACAAGAATAAAATTCTAATATTTAATTACTTTAATTGGATCGCCACCTCTATCTGGATGATTAAGTAAAGCTTGTTTTCGGTGACCCTAAATTTAAAAATAAATAAATAGTTGATTGAATAAAGACACTCGTCATACAAAAACCTTACTTTAGTGATTTGCTCATCTGTGGCATTTGGTGGAACGTCAAGTAATTCGTATAGAGTAGTATCACAAACCATTTTTAACGGATGGAAATAGTTTAAGAATAAAAGTTTATTTTCTACTGAAAATTTGTAAACAAAAAAAGTTCGTTATTCTTATAAATTTTTTATTCAAATGGTATGTATGCGTCGAAAACTATTTTAATGCCTTCTTGTACTTAAAAAACGAGCATGTAAATGTTTTTCTTTCTATTCACTCATAGATTACATCATCTCATCTTTGTTCTTTTGTGTTTTTTCCAAATGACGACATCAATTAAACTTTCGTCATTGTATATACAGAGGAAAAAGGACACTAAAACTCCATGCAGCAAACATTTATGAGGGAAAAAAAACGTTACTTTTTTGCAAGTATATTATTGCGCAATGGTTACACACGAATACTGACTCATAGCCTTGATTTTTGCACATGAGCGCAGAATGCGATAGTTGTATTCCATTTCTTTTTCTTTCTATGTCACAAAGTACAATCGGTTATCAGGATTTTTCTCATTTCTTTATACTTTTTATAACATAAAATATTGTAACGTCACTTTTATTTTCTAGACAAATGTGCAACATCATACTCTTCCGTCTCTGATCAATGATTACTTTTATTTTTTCGTGATGCTTGTAACTAACTAGATAATGTCTTATAACTACTTTTTCTTATTTCTGAGAAATATTTTTGTTACCTTGACATCGTGGTACTAAAAAAGAGAAATACAGAATGAGAGATGACGAAGTTTTGCTGTTCTCTTATGACAGTCGCATTCATAGATGACGCAAAAGAAAAATATTTACTAAATACTACACACGTAGGCAAGAATGAAAATACAATATAATGAGAAGCATGGTTTCGTTATTTTACTCAGGACAAAATTCATACTCATATGAATTGTGAAGAATCTGGACGCGATTTTTCTTCAACGTTTTTTCTTTCATTCTTTTGTTCACGTTTTTTTGTGAATGGATTTTTAGTAGATACCTTTCACATAAAAGTCATGACAAAAAATGACGTCACCCGACCTTTGAGCGACTGACATTTGAGCGAACAATACCGCGTACAGGACTCGACTCTTCCACGAATTTTCCGTAGTACACATTTGGATATTTTTGGCAGTGTTCGCGGGAGGTGGAGGCAGTCTGAGACTGAGTTCTAAAAGTAGTTTCACACAAAATATATTTTCATCATGCGAGACTGTACATCTGTAACTGAATCACATTATGATTATTCACCAGATAACTTCTTTCAGGTTTCATGTCGTTCGCGGAAATGTCGGTCGCTCAAGTGTCGGCGGCCAAATGTCGGTCTCTCAAACGTCGGTTAATATAAAGATGAATATGTGATAGACTAACTCACCGCACACGATATTCACTCTCGTTGACAGATGTTTTGAAAGTTTTCGTCCTTTGCACAAATAGAAGTAATGAGAATATCATGTCAGTTTGTGGAAATATCGTGTCACCGAACTATGTACACGTGTGCACGTTCTAATTCATTTAATCGCGCAAATAGCTCGTAAAACTTGTCACTCTATCAGACGAACTATGCAGTCATCACCAATGTGTACTCAACGCTCAATGCCAGCTCTAACCTAAGTGCAGCTAGATGCTATGCTAATCAGATTTTCGTATTTTCAATCTCGTTCGCATCCTTGTTTTTTCTCAGAATCGAGAATATATATAGCGCGTAGCTTTCATCTCTGTCAGAATTCCTCCATTCTTGAATGCTTCTGCAAGGGCACAACGGTTTTTCCATTCAAATTTTTCTTTTTTTATAAAAATTAAGTCTTCTAAAAAAATATTTTGGAGTATTTCAGAGTTCTTACCGTGCCTGATTGAAGACGAAGCAGCGAGTGATTACAAACACTGGGCTCTGAGGCATTGTATTTACACCGTTTTTCTACAACCCCAGAGATCGAATCTTATATAGGATTCCTATAGGAATCTTACAGATTCAGATAAGAATCTTATAGAAATCTTATGCTACAGTCGATGGAAATGCATACTGTGCTTATAAGATTTCTATAAAAACGTATACGATTCTTATAGTCAGAAAAAAAACTTTTTTTTGTGGCCAGAGGACGAGGGCAAAGTTTTGAACTTTGAAATTATTGAACATTTTTTATAAGGCACTAAGATGATAAGAAAATTATAAAACTAAAATCTTACCGAAATCTTATTCGATTCTTATAATTCGCAATATAAGAATCTTATAATTACAGTATGCATTTCTCTCGACTGGAGCATATAAGATTTTTATAAGATTCTTATCTGATTTCTGCACTTTCGGTCTGCTAGGGAAACTACTAACAAGAACTTGAAGGATCCAACATAAATAGAAAAATTAGGTACTGAACACTACGTCCTGATCCTGGTTTTATTCACACTCTTGAACTATGTGAAGTTTTCCGGTGTATAAGGGTAAGATGGTGAACTAAACTGCAGAAAGCGACTTGGCGCTATGTATAGACAATTTAAAGATGCCTCTTCTTCGGTTTGTCTACAAATTTATAAAACATACATATTAGCTAAATTGGATTACGCTTACCTTGTGAAGTTTTTTTCCTCAAGCATATGACTTTCTTGAGTAAGAATCTTACGACGTGGAGACATTTCTTACCCATGCAAAACGCATTTTTTCCGATGTCAGACGCTTAACTTTCTTGACTTACATGCTTGAGTTTCGTGTCTCAAGGAACTCATGCGCATGAGATTCTTGTCTTAAGCGCTTAACTTCCTTGAGTCAAACTTTTCTCTTTCTTGTCTTTTTGATCAGCTTTGACCCAATGAAATTCGAAATTTTGATTTCGCTCTTTCAGTGCGAATATATAGAAATAGACTGGACATGTACGTGTAGAGCAGACATGTGGATGGCATGGCATAACATGCAAGAGAATAATGCACATTGTCTACACAGCCATTTCTTCTTTTTTTAACGTACTATAAAGGTGAAAACCATTTTTACTCGCATTTTTTGCATGTTTTAACCTGCGTTTTCTTACTGATTTTGTTATAAAAAAGTATAAAAAATTAAATAACTTGAACTTTTAACTTCGAGGTAAGTACACAGCAATTTGAGACGAAGGAAGAGAGATAGTTCATCCTTCGGTTTTTTGTCACAAAATTGAACTATCTTTCTTATAAACAGTTTTGAAAGGTCGTTCTTCTCAGATAATGTATCGAATCTAAGGGCCTTTCTCGTTGAGTAGGCTCAAAAAGATATTAACTGTGCAAGATTTTCAAATAAAAATGCACAAAAATGAGACATACACCAAATCGTTGATGTTTATTTATCATCATACTTATGAGTTTCCACGGTGTAAGAGAACTTTGCCATTGGCGGCTTTCAGGATGTAGCATGTATCAGTTTGGTCCTGTTTGATACACAGAGAACTGGGTGCCAAGCTATACTGCCTCATTCACCGGATGGTAGTTTGGCTTTAGCGACGAACTGGTTAGTGTCTAGTATTTAGGGATACGCTTCTTCTGGAAGTTCAAGTGTGAATGTTTTCTTCACATGCGGTAAACGTTACTTAATCGGTAAAATTCACAACCGAACCTTAAAAGACATCAACCTTTCTCACTTCTATCTTGAGATGAAATTCCAGTCATATGTCGAACCAAAACAGAAATACAACGCGGCGCGGACTTGGTCATCTAAGGAGGAATTTTTTCTCGAATAAACACATCATAGACTAGCGAAAACTTACATTCAGCAGTGTACCAAAAGATAATAGGAAGATTTTAGAGTGCGGAATAGTAGAAAGTCAAAATTGCTGTGTACTCACTTTGAACTGTCGTGAGCTTTTCATTGAAAATGACTTCTTTTACTTTGTAGATAAAGATTATGGCATAGTGAGAGTACCAGATGGTCGAGAAAGACTAAAAAATTGATTGCATCATGTTCTCGAAGAAAAGTCCGATTAAAACGTGGTGTAATCAAGTCTAAAAAATGCAATTAGAGCAATTTACAAAGTAGAAAATCGGTAATGCATGACTTTCTTAAGATATGCACATGAGTTTCTTGAGGTAAGCACATTGTTTTAGGTATTTGTCCTCTCATGCGCATACTTCAAGCAACTCAAGCACATATCTCAAGCGTTTTGCATGAGCAAGAAATTCATGTGCATGGAGACAAATTTTGAGGTAGATGCTTGCTCATGTGTTCGAAGAAAAGGGCTTCACTAGGGCTGTACTTTGTATGACAATAACTTTGCTAATTTGGAAAGTAAGCTTGTATCAGTACAAAAACTAGCTTTTATTTAAAACTTAACTTAACTTTTATTCCATTTGCGTCCACTGAAACTGTTCTACAATCCTTTCTGTATAGGAGAGCTTGCGATTGAAATTCGCTCCCGAACACTGTTGCTACCTCGTCTACAATTAAAACTTTCAAAATAAAACGGAGGCAACACCTGCAGATGTAAAACAATAGAGAGAAGAAAAAAAAGGATAAAAAAGGTAGCAATTTTTATAGGTCTTTACACTTTTTTGCTTTCCTGACAACGTGTTTTTGTATAGTTAGATTTTTTTGTATTATAAAAAGGTTTATTATTTATTGCATACAAAACTGCTGTTGTCGAAATAACAACCAATCAAAATAACTAACATCCTCTGTAAGCTTTGTCAAGAACAGATACCCCATTCGAAAATAGATTCCCGGTAGAGGAGAAACTTAAGAGGAGTGGTTAGTGAATGTCATCAGAATTTACTCTTTTTTTAAAAGAATTACATCCATATAGAATAACTAATGAATCATATTCCAATATTTTTTGTTTTCCTTTTCAGCTAATCAGAAATTATTCAAATCATTGCTTTTTCTAAAATTGTTAAAGATTATTAAAAATGAGTCCAAAAGAAAAACGTGACAAAACATTTTCGCGAAGGCTTGTTGATTGGAAAAGAAGAGTAAATGAGCCTGGTTTTGCATTTTATGTATCATATTGATACAGTTACAGATATACAGTTTTATTGCTTAACGTGTTTGTTTGGTTTTCTCTTCGGTACACGATAAACTGAAGCTCACTGTTTAT